TCCCTGGGTTATCTTATCATTATTTTTCTCCTTCCCTCTGTCCTGTGACAGCTCGGGAATCTCTAAATGCTTTTAATATTGTGGTTCCAGGTAGAGAATGTCATGCGAAGTATTCAGCCTCAGGACTAGGTTACTTCTCTCTTCTCCCAGGTTTGTTAAGGGCCAAGAGATGGACAGAGAGTGAGAAAGTCATCTTGGTAAAGCAGACTCAGGGGCATTGGGATGAGTGGTTCAACTTTTTGCTTCCATTTTCCCTCTAGTGGGCTGAACTGGTCTTCAACAGCTAGCCACAGTCACTTCTTCCATACTTGTCTAGCGTGGGACCCCTGGCTGGGGTCCTTAGAATCATAGGATCACAGATAAGAAACAGCATATTGGAATAAAGTCAGCAGACCTGCAGCAGTGTGCAGTACCTTCCACAGGGAATAAGGATTTTGCTCCGAGGTTGGGGATGTTGGTACCAATGTTTGGAACCCCAACTGCCCCAAAACCACTTACAGTATGCCCTTGGATCCTAACATTGTGACTGGAGGAGATGATCTGGCAAAAGGCCAGAGTATTCTGTGGAGCTGGACTGAAGTCATGAACTTCATGCCAGACTCCATTTGGGTAACCACATTACACAACTCCATTAGGGTTACTGTTCACATGCCCAAATTCAGCAAATTTGATCAATTTTGCTTATAATTTCTGGACATTTTATTTGTTTATGTGTCAAATTTGGGAGGTAATTTTTGTAGTTTGCTGTTCCCTGTAGATATTTTCAAAGTTGTCTTTCATTTACTTAAATAAAATAAAAAGATCATTTTGGCTGGGCTTGGTGGCTCACACCTGTAATCCCAGAACTTTGGGAGGCTTATGTGGGCAGATCGCTTGAACCCAGGAGTTTGAGACCAGCCTGGACAACATGGTGAAACTCTGTCTCTACAAAAAAATACAAAAATTAGCTGGGTGTGGTGGTGTGCGCCTGTGGTCCTAGCTACTTGGGAGGCTGAGGTGGGAGGATCATCTAAGCCTGGAGTTTTAGGCTGCAGTGAGGTGAGATTGTGCCACTGCCCTCCAGCCTGGGCAACAGAGTGAGATCCTGTCTCTAAAAAAAAAAAAAAAAAAAAAGGAGTTGTTTTATAACCAGTGTCTGATAAATTGCAGTGTCTGAAATCTTGCTCCCCTCCCTCTCCCTCTTGTGGATGTCTGATCTTATTTGTTTGCTACTCTTAGAAAATCTTATTTTTGACGGGGCTCAGAGGTAGAAGCTTTCAGAGAAAACAGCCTCAGTCTTTTGGCAATCTGTTTCTAGTGTTTTTCTTTGACCTCCTTCATTTCCTTGGCCAAAAGTTTAGCATATTCTACAGCTTCTTCCTTATTTATTTATTTTTAGAATGCTGTTTCCTTGGAGCAATATGCTGATGTTTGAGTTGCCAGACATGTGAAGTAACACAATGGGGAATCTTGGGTGCTTTGGTCCTGGGTTTCTTACTTTCTTTGTTGAGGAGTTTTCTCACAATGTGCAGGAGAACATCATGTTCCTTAGAGAGGTTGAAACATTTGTAAATTCTCCTAGCTCTTATGGACCCCAGGTGATGAGGTACAGTTGTATTAGTCAGTCCAGAAATATACTTCCCTTCTTCTTTTCTTTCTTTTTTTAATCACTAACTTGAGAACATGCAGATTGGCATCCACAATGCAACCCCAAACAGATTTGTGCTTTCTTTATCTAGTTATTGGTCTATTACAAGAATACTCTTTCTCCATAGCAGGCAGACACGACCATGGTTAGGGACACCCGTTTTATGGGAAACCTTGTTTGTTGTCCCCACCACTGATTCAGACCACATAACCCTTCCACTATTCATTGAGAGTGTCAGCAGCCACATCTGTAGCCACACACTTCTCAAAAAAGGTACTAAGAAATATTTAAATAAAAATGTTATAGCCTTAACATGCTTTAAATTCAAAAGGATAAAATTACAAAACTTGCTTGAAAGATATTAAAGAAGACCTAAATGCAGGGAGAGATGTACCATGTTCATGAACTGGAAGACTTGGTATTGCAAAACTGTCAATTCTCCCAAGATGTATGTAAACATTTAAAGCAATCACTATCAAATTCCCAAAGAGGACTAGATCTTCACATTCTACCTCAGACTTACCTACTTTCCATTCTTCTTTTACCTTCTCTCCAATGCGCTTTCCAAATGAGAGGTATTAAGTAATTTTAAAAGGCTGCATCTCTCACCAGCAGGATTCGTCTCTTCATTATCTCTCACATCTGTTTCCTTGTTGCCTTTCCCATAGTCACTATGACTACTTCTTGTCCTTGGCCCGGACAAACTGATTTTTGGCGCCTGGGAGGTTCTCTGAGTGATGGAGCTATTGCTTTTGGCTCAGAAATGTTTGTCTTTCCCAACCTGGGCAACAAAGTGAGGCCCTATCTCTACATGAAATAAAAAATAAAAATTAGCTTGTCATGGTAGTGCATGCCTGTAGTCCCAGCTACTTGGGAGCTGAGGTGGGAGGATTGCTTGAGCCTGAGAGCTTGAGGCTGCAGTGAGCCATGATTGTGCCACTGTGCTCCAGCCTGGGAGACAGAGTAAGAACCTTCTTTAAAAAAAAAGAAAGAAAGAAATGTTTGTCTTTAAGGTTAGAATGAAAGAAAGGATCCAAGCAGCACACACTTGGGGTAAATGGGGCAGTAGTAAGACAAGGACAAGAGGTGAGGGGGGGTAAAGAAACATACAGATGCATTTGGTGTTGAAGTCTTTCTGCTCCTTCACTCTGGAGTAGTAACTTATGTTCACTGATTTCCAAGAAGGATGAGGAGCCAACCGAGGTAGAATAAACAAAAAATCCTACCACTATATGGGAGACTGCTTGCAAAGATGGCTGCAAAATGTCCCTCTATCCCTGTGTAAGCTTCCTCTGAAATGTAACTTTGCTGTCAGTCCATCAAGAGGTGGACTTTATTTCCTTTGAATCTGGGCTGTTCATGGGACTTGCTTTAGCCAGTTAGAAAGCAGAAGTAGCACCATGTGACTTCTGGCTCTAGGCCCCCAGAGGCTTTGCAGCTCCCACCTCTGTCCTCTAGGAAAGCTGCAGTCACCATATGGAAGATGAGAGACACAAAGAGATAAAAAGCCTCGACTGACAGTTGACACCAACTCTCAGACATGTAAGGGAGGCCACCTGAACCCTCAGGCCCTCATCAAACCATCTGATGATTCCTGGAACCACGTGACCCTAGAGAAACTACCCAGCTAAGCTGACCCACAGGGTCACGAACAAATAAAGTGGTGGTTGTGTTAAGCCAACTAAGTTTATAGCCATTTGTTCCCTGATAATAGATAGATAACTGATACAAAGTGTATCCTCAATTGGCATTCACTAGGGCCAGGAAAAAAAGGAAGAGACAGAGTGAGTTAGCAGGGCTCTGGGTCAGGTGCCTAATGGGATGCTCACTGTGAGGACGGCATGCAGCTAGCACTTCAAACCCACTTCAAGGAAGGAAAACAATTGTGTGGGGATGAAGAACCTCTATTGCTCTGTGACACAATGGGTCCCAGTGAGGCTTGGCAGGGTTCTCCTGACTGGGCACAGCAGGGTGAAGGAGGGACTCCTTTCTAGCCTGCGGTAGTGGTTATAATCCTGAGAGGGCCAGAGCATCAGTGTCTAGAACCTCTCAGCAAAGGGCATGATGTACAGGGATGGTAGGAATTTGTGTGGCCACCTTCTGCCCTAAAGCTGTCACTATGTCCCCATTCAGGTGGCCCATTAGAGGCAGGCAGATATGACATGTCCAGTGTGTATGGCCCTCCAGCTATGGGAGTCATGATTGGGATTGATTTGCAGCTATGCGTGGACTTTATTTGGTGGTTCCAGAAATGTGTGGGAAACATCAGCTTTCATGGACCCAAGCAAGAGGGGTCTTGTGTGTGAATGGACTTTGCACTCCTGACACTGAATCCAGTGGCAGAGTGTGGGCAGGAGGAGACAGAGGATGCTTGGGTGGCAGGTACTAACTGGCCATGTATGAAACCAGCACATCTGGAACTTCACGCCGGCCTCATATCGACATTATGAGATAGGCATTATTATGACTCCAGTTCAGATGAGGAAACTGGCTTAGAGAGGTTGTGTAATGTGCCCAAGGCCACCCAGCTCATTCGTCTGGAGGTGAAACTCTAATCTGGCTCGAACCACTATTACATACTGTCTTCCGAGGAGTGAGTTGTTTTCCTTTTTAATTTCTAAGAATGTTTGCCGCAATTAGACAGTGTTGCTCACTGTAGTAGTCTGTTCTCACACTGCTATAAAGAAATACCTGAGGCTGGGTAGTTTATAACGAAAAGAGGCTTAATCGGCTCACACAGGCTGTACAGGAAGCATGGATGGGGAGGCCTCAGGAAACTTACAATCATGGCAGAAGGGGAAGGGGAAGCAGGCATGTCTTACATAACAGGAACAGGAGGAAAAGGGCAAAGAGGGAGGTGCTGCGCATTTTTAAACAACTACATCTCATGAGAGCTCACTCACTATCATGCAAACAGCAAGGGAGAAATCTGCCCTGTGATCCAGTCACCTCCCACCAGGCCCCCTCCTCCAGCATTGGGGATTACAACTGGACATGAGATTTGGGCGGGGACACAAATCCAAACCATATCACTCACCAAGTAGCCCTCAAGGTCACTCTGACAGAAGGACTGTGGCTGAATTTCACGCTTTAGGAGGTTGGGTGGAGTTCCAGTGGTGACCACGAGGTGGTGTGGTCACCAGAAGATGCAGCAGTGTCAGGTCTGCATTGTGGGATAGGGGACTGCCCTGTCCCTGTTCTCAGAAGGCCTTTCTTCTCTGCAACTTGACAAAGGCAAAGAAAAGCATCCCAGACAATGCATACCACCCCATCTCTCATTATGGCCTGCTCCCCATGTTTGGCAGAGTTCTTTAGCCCAAGGGGAGAAATCACATTGACCGAGAGGTCATAACCCAAGAAAATACAAAGGATATCTAGACTTCTGCAAAGAAATGCTTTATTGGACAAGATTTTTTTTCTTTACAGGAAATGGTCCGCTGAGGTACAGACAGAGGGGTGGTGTTCAGACCATTCCAGCACTGAGCTGCTGAAACATGGGCCTCCTTGGCCGTTCTTCCTCGCATACTCTCTAGAGTGTACCCGACACACAGCTGATTTCAGTAAATGTTTGGATAAGTGATAACATAGACTATAATGAAAACAACAATAGTGCTAATGATGAACTCATATTGAACATGTAAAATATGCCATGGATGGCCATGGATTTGTTCATTTAATTCTCACATGTTAACGAACAGGCTAAGTCACTTGCCCAGGGTTCCGTGAGCAGTGGGAGAGATGAATGAGTGATTGAACGATGGGGATAAATGGCATCATTGTCATGTGCTTTCAGGTTCAGCCTCAGTTTGTGTAACAGAAGAGTTAGGGAGAAGGGAGGCCACCGTGGGAGTTGAGGGACATAGGGAGGCAGAGTTTCTCTGACAGGTGGGTGGCCAGAGGGTGGGAAGGAGCAGTAGGGTGGGCAGGGTGGCTGTGTGTGTGGCACTGCAGCAGGGCGAGGGGGCAGGGCACCATGTTCTCACCTCACGACCCAACAGGAGCCCAGGCAGCACCGAGTGCATGTGAGCCAAAGCCATTGTGGGCCATTTATGGATTAAAGCCATGTTGTTGGTTAAGGCAAATACTTGAGTGAGAAATCATGGGAAGATCACCGGCCTCAGTTGCTTTGCAGCTGGAGAAATCCAGAGGCTCTCCTGCCCTCTGTGATGTGGAAGGAACCAGGACAAAGGATGTGCCTTCCTTAAGACCCCTTCTCAGTGGTAGATAAATCGTCCAAGAATGGGCCCCTTTCCCAAACTTTGCACTTCCTTTTTCAACTGGGAACTGGAGAGATCATTCGTTTCTTCCTAGAACTTTGTCAGCAACTGGAATGTGTTGCCACGAGAAGAAAGGCCGTGGGTGCTCAGTGTCTGCAAGCTTCGCCTTGGGCAACCTTGCCCTGTGTCCTACTCCTCCTGCTCTTCTTCCTGCGGGCTATATGTGTGCCTCTGTCTCCACAGCCTGTCTCAGTGGATCAGTGATTCTGGCCCCAACTCACTGCTGCTTTTTCTCTGAGCGCCAGATTTGTCTCTTCCTCCACCTGGGCCAGAGCAGTTCATAAGCTCATTGTACCTGCAAAGAGAGCCACCTGAGCCATCGTGGCAGGGGCAGATGTCTGCACCCAGAGTGTCTGAGCTGGAGGTGGGCAGTCCTCCTCCCACCGGGAGAAGCTCCCTCAGCCTCCTCCTCATGGCTTCCAGGCCTGGCCCATGGACCTGGCTGTGGGAATCTTAGTAAAGTGTGTGCTTTCCTTTTCAGTTGCAGTTCTTAGAAAAACAATGCCCAGATGTTATCTAAGCAGGTAGTAGAAACACCAACCAAGGTCAAATCATCCCAAACCACAGACGTTTGTCAGCTGCCCTTGTACTTGACAGGCGAGCGCTGCAGAAGTTGAACTGTAGCCCTACAGCCCTGGGGCTGTTAAGTAAAGCCCAGGTCCCAGGTCCCAGGTCCCACCCCTGCTGTTTCTGGCTGGTCTACCCGTCTCATTTGGCTCTGTCTCCTTCCCCAGCGTGCTGGACTCCCTGTCCTTTCTGGTCACATACGATGCAGTTCAGCCCAGGCCTGTCCTGCCAAGCACTGCCTGGCTGGGGTCCAGCCCCTTCACTGGTATTTAGCAGGATCCTCCTTCCTTTGTACACAAAGCCTCCTTTCTGTTCAGCCTTTCTCAATAACTACCCAGGCACCATCTGCTCCAGATTTGAAACCTGGGAGTCGGGTCTGCTCAGACTTAACTCTTTAAAAATCCTTGCCCTCCCCCACCAACCAGAACAGGTACAAGGCACTGAACCAGCCTGTGGCATTTGTCCCTCCCTCACCCCAGGTCCCGGTCACCCCTGCCCACACCTCCCTGGGTCTTCCTGATTCTCTGATCCTCTGCACAGCCCCAGCTGTGGGGCTCACCGGCTGCTTACCATCTCCACTGTTCTTCTCTGCCTGGTCACCATCTCCGTCTTCCCCGTGTTCACGCCAATCCATTTCCACTTCTGTCTGAGCTTCATCCTACTCATCAGCAGGTGACTCTGAGGGTGACTTACTGAAAAGACTGAGGCCATCTGACATGAGATTGTCCACGTTCTCCCCTTGGACCTGAATATTTTCCACGCTTTCTCCCTCCCTCTCACTTCAAAGAAAGAACTACCCTCTACCTCTCCAACGCTTTCACTAGCATTGGTTCTTCTAGGGGAAGAAACACAGACTTTTTGGGGTTCAAATCCTAACTTTACCATCTTTTACAGCTATGTGTCCTTGGTAAAATTATTTGACTTCCCTGTACCTCGATTTCTTAATCTGTAAAATCAGGACAATACTCTCTGCTTCTGTGTGTGTGTGTGTGTGTGTGTGTGTGTGTGTGTGTGTGTGTGTTTGGAGTCGTGTACTGCATGCAAAAACGTTGACACTTACTGGGCCTGAGTTACAGCACATTATTCTGGTTCTGCTCTCTCTGACACCTATCCTCTGTAAAGGCACAAATATTCTACCATCCAATCGGCATGCATTTATTGAACATCTGCTCTGAGTCCGTCCCTGTTCTAGGTGCAGGGGGTACAGAATTGAGGCAATCATTCCAGAGTTTTCACCTAATAGTCACATACCCTTTTCCTCCTTGATCTCAGGGTCTCATTTTGTGAACCCATCAGGGAGCACATGCTCTAGGAAGCTGAGTTCATCCTCCCCTCCAGGGAGAAATCATGACTGATCAGAGCCAACTGCGCTCATCCTCTTCTACTTTGGTTTAGGGGTGGACCCTTGATCTTGTCTGGCCAGGGATAGAAAAGGGGAAGTTGACTAGGGATTCTGGAAGATTCTAAACAGATGTGAAGATCAAAGTCCTTTCTCTTCCTTCTGACATGGTTGAGTTGGATGTGAAGGCTGGAGCTGCGGCAGCCATTCTTTGGTGTGAGAAGAACAAATGTCAACCTCAGGCTCTGATGTTGCTGAGCTGCTGAATGTGCATTTATGTGGGGACACAGATGTCCTTGATTGTCTAAATCACGTTTCATTGCTTCATCTGTCACATGCAGCTGAAAATGTCCTGCCACAAGCAGGAAGCAAGATGGATATGGTCCCAGCCATCAGATAGCTAATGTTTGTCATTAGGGAGATAGAAAATAAATGAGAAATAAATACATAGTATTAACATAAAAACTGGTAATTGCTATAAAGAGGACTAATAGAGGCAAGGGGACCCAGCCTGATAAAGGAACACAGACTTTCTAAAGAGGCAGCGCTCGGACAGAGGCCTGAATGAAGCGACATCATAGCAGATGAAGATCTCCAGGCAGGAGGAACAGCACATGCAAAGCCCTGGAACAAACTGGGACCTCGGAAGAATACCAGTGTGACTGGAGCAGGGGACACCAAGGAGAGAGGGACTAGATCTAACCAGGGTTAGATCACAGGCGATCAGTGGGCACCCATCGGTAGGTCTGAACAAGGGGATTGCATGATCTGCCTTTGGTTTTCGAAGGACATCTTGACTGCTGAGTGGGGAATAGGCTGGGTCATCAATCATTAGAGTGGGACTAACCAGGAAGCTCCCTCAGTGGTTCAGGTGGGGAATGATAGTCCCAGGGGAGGGTGGAGGGGAATGGTGAGGCGTGTCAGATGTTTTAAGCAAAGCTTGCCAATTGATGTGATGTAAGGACCCAGGGGAGTCAAGGGTGGCTGTTTTTTTTTTGTTTTTTTGTTTTTTTTGGCCTGGGAATTGAAGTTGATGGTAAGGACATTTATTGAGATAATTAAATTGGGGAGGGAGCAAGGGCTTCCTTTTGGTGGGAGAGATGATTTGAAAATCAACAACTCTCTTTCAGGTATGCTTAAGTTTCCTATTAGACCTCAGGGAAGTGAAGAAGTGTGGGCAGTTGGTCAGAAGAATCCAGAGTTTACATTGGAGGGACAGGTGCTCTTTGTAAATCTGAATTTGGGATTATTGCCTATGATGGTAACTAAAACCATGGGACTTGCTGATTGTCGGCGAGGAATGGGGATAGAAAGGGAAGAGAAGATGCTGAGGAAGAAACTCCCAGGAATCCCGTGTTTAGAGGGCAGCGCAGGAGGAAGCAGGCGAGAAGAGAGAGTGGCCAGCGGGCTATAAAGACAGTTGGGAGCATTCATTCTAGAACCCAAGGAAATAAAGCGATGTGAGGAAACGGGGCTGATCCAGTGCTGCTGGCAGGTCAGGGAAGATGAGAATTGAGACTGACTCTTGGATTTGGCATCCTAGACAGAGTCCTTTCAGTACTATTGGGGGCAGGAGGAGCCTAATTTGAGAAGAACCAGGAGAGAGGTGAGGAAACAGATAAGGGAACACAGGGAGGTAGGTGGGTTTGATGTGGGAGCACAAAGGAGTTCCCCTCTGACAGCTTCTCCTTCCTCACTGAGGCATGAGGTTACTGCTCAGCATCGGGCGAGGAGAAGGCATGGCTGCAGCCTGGAAGAAGTGAAGAGACTGACTGGGATATGCAGCAGGACGACCAGGAGCTGTGAGGGCCACCAGTGGGCTGCGGCCATGAGCGGGGAGCAAGATGAGGCAGCACAGCAAAGGTTTGTGATATTCTTCAACATGGCTCAGCTGCTTGGACACAAAGAGGAGGAGGGGAAACCTGAATTTCACTAGAATTTGGTCCCCCTGCCCCAGGTAAGTATGAGAGAGGCGGTAGGGTTGAGAGCAGATGCAGTGGTGGCAGATACATAGCGTTCACTGTGGCAGGCAGAGTCTCATTGTTCTACAGTACTTGCTTACCAGACCTGTGGGTCTCAAACAGACCTAGGAGTAGGTTCCATTATCATCTCCATTTTACAAGTGAGGAAACAGTGAGGAAATAGAGGCACAGAGGAGAAATAACTTGCTCAGGTTGCAAAGCCAGTATGTCATGGAGCCAGAATATGGACTCAGGCGGTTTTGGTTGGATAATCCCCGCTCTTAACCCTGTGCTGCATTGGTGCTTGCCCTCCCGGCTACATGCAGGGGAGTGATTTCAGTGAGGAGATATAGGAATGCAGCTGATGTAACAAAATGCAATGGCTCAAATTAAATATATTTCCTTTTTCTTTCTTAATACTCTGGGGAAGATGTTCTAGATGGGTATAAGTTAGGGTCTCAGGCTTCCAAGATCACTGTGGTTATCATCACTGCCATTCTGAACCCTGTTCCTATGCACACATCCTATCCACTCATGTCCCATTGGCTGGAACTCTGTCACATGACTGCACCTAGCTGCAAGGGAGGCTGGGAAGTATGGTCTGGTGTGTGCTTAGTAGGAGTTCCTGACACATGGACCATGAACTCTAAGCTGGACAGTGAGAGAAGTACAGAACAGTGAAAAAGTGGTAGGATTCATGGATCATGAATGGGAGGTCTTGATGAGCACAAAAAATTGTCAGAGTTGGGTAACTTGAGGGAATAAGCTGGAAAAATAGTAGTCAGTGGCTGGTCTGAGCATAGGATGTTTGAGATGTAAGTTTTGCAAGTAGTACAGCAACATTTCCTTGTAATGACAAAGGTTGAGTTATGAACATAGAAGTAGATGACTGAGGTAGGGTGAGGAAGGTGAAGTGAGGAGATCAAAGATGTGTTGATGTTATAAAGAAGCAGGGCAGGATAGACCACAGGGAGTCCAGAGCTGACAGCTCCAGTAAAGGAACAGGCCCTCTCTAAAATATGCAGGACCCAGGACAAAGAATGCAAGTGGAGGCCCACGTATGTTAGGTCTAAATATTTAAAAGTTATGAGTCAAGCCATCAGACTTTAAATAAAAATCTGACTTTAAATATGTCTGTCTTCGTACCTTAGTAAATGTACCTTCATAACCTCCTGGAAGATTAAATGTGAAATGAAAATTCTAACTCTTTGGAATTTATGGACTTCTAGCCCCAGGCCATGGGCCACTACTCTTCCAAGTCTTCCCCACACTGTCGGGGCTCCAGGTCCTCACAGCCAAGCTCCAGCCACATCCACATCTGGAGGACAGATGCAGGGAGGAGGCAACCCATACAGGTCCTGAAAGCTGGCATAGTGCTGGTTGGGCAGAGCACTTGGAGCAGAGCCCAGAGGAGGGGCATAGGGGATAGCACATCACTGGTTTTACCGTGTTTCCCACCATTCAGAAGCAGCTGGTTTAGAACAGAGGGATGGCCTTTTGAAGACTCAGTTACAACACCATCTAGGTGGCAATGCCTTGCAGGGTTGGGGAAGCATTCTCTGGGAAGCTCTATATGCTCTGAATCAACATTCACTAAAGGTGTTCCTTCTCCCATAGCCGGGTTTCATGGGCCTAGAGTCAGGCGGTAGAAATGAGGGTGGCACCATTCATTATTACCCCTAGTCACCCACAGCAAAAGTTTTACTTCCTGTTCCTGTGACCTTATGCTGTGCATGCTGCTAAGTCTTAGTTTCAGATGAAAGAATGCTTCTACTGGGAGACACAACAGTTAAGACTACCCAGTCATTGTGGGTTCTTCATGCCTCTGAATCAACAGGCAAAGATGGGAGTTACTATGCTGGCTGAGGTGACTGATCCTCACTGCCAAGGGGAAATTCAACTGCTGTTACACAATGGAGTAAGGATTGGAGCTCTCTTAGGGCATCTCTTAGTATTACCACGCCTTGTGATTAAGGTCAGTGGAAAACTACAACAACCCAATTCAGACAGGAGCTACCAATGGCACAGACACTTCAGGAATGAAGGTTTGGGTCACTCCATCAGGTAAGGAACCATGGTCATCTGTGATATTTGCTGAAAGTAAAGGGAATACAGAATGAGTAGTGAAAGAAAATAGTTATAAACATGAGCAATGACCATGTAAACAGTTACAGAAATGAGGACTGTAATTATCATGAATATTTCCTCCTTATTTTGTTATGAATATATTTTTTGTGTGTATATAATATTTGTTTTCTTTCCTTTCTTATTCCTTTTTCTGGAACATAATATATATTGACTTTATATCATAGTATTTAAGTATTGATAATTTTACATCAAGTATTTAAGTTATGATATATCAAGAGGAGAAGTAAACATCATTCAAGGATTTTACCTCTCTTATGGGGAAAGGGTTATTAAGTGTTTTTTTTGTTTTTTTTTTTTTGTCGTATGCAGGATAGTTGTAACATGTTAGGTGAAATAATGCCCTTGTTATTGTCTTGTCTTTATTTGGAAATTAAGTGTGATATACACTTTACAGATACACTGTGTGTCTTTAAATCACAGTCAAGTAGACACAGGGTGGACTTGTGGTGGCTAATTTTATGTGTCAAATTTGATTGGGCCATGAATTGCCCAAATACTTGGTTAAACATTATTCTGGGTATATGATATTTTTTGGCTGTGTTCCCACCTAAATCTCATCTTGAATTCCCACATGTTGTGGGAGGGACTTGGTGGGAGGTAATTGAATCATGGGTTCAAGTCTTTCTCATGCTGTTCTCCTGATAGTGAATAAGTCTGATGCTGTCTGATGGTTTTAAAAAGAGGAGTTCCCCTGAACAAGCTCTCTCTCTTTGCCTGCTGCCACCAATGTAAGATGCGACTTGCTCCTCCTTGCCTTCCGCCATGATTGTGTGGTTTCCCCAGTCATGTGGAACTGTAAGTTCAATAAAACCTCTTTCTTTTGTAAATTGCCCAGTCTCAAGTATGTCTTTATCCGCAGCACGAAAATGGACTAATACAGTAAATTGGTACCAGTAGAGTGGGGTGCTGCTGAAAAGATACCCAAAAATGTGGCATCTACTTTTTAACTGGGTAACAGGCAGAGGTTGGAATAGTTTGGAGGGTTCAGAAGAAGATAGCAAAATGTGGGAAAGTTTGGAACTTCTTAGAGACTTGTTGAATGGCTTTGACCAGAAGCCTGATAGTGATATGGACAATAAGGTCCATACTGAGGTGGTCTCAGATGGAGATGAGAAACTTGTTGAGAACTGGACCAAAGGTGACTCTTGTTATGTTTTAGCAAAGAGAATGGCAGCATTCTGTCCCTGCCCTGGTACCCCCCAAATTGATACCCTGTACACCCCAAATTGGAGGAGATTTTTGGAAATTTGAACTTGAGAGTGATGAATTAGGGTATCTGGTGGAAGAAATTTCTAAGCAGCAAAGAATTCAAGAGGTAACTTAGGTGCTGTTAAAGGCATTCAGTTTTATAAGGGAAGCAGAGCATAAACATTCAAATCATTTGCAGCCTGACAATGTGATAGAATACAAAAACCCATTTTCTGAGGAGAAATTGAAGCCGGCTACAGAAATTTGGAAAAGTAACAAGGATGAGGCTGGAAACCATCATTCTCAGCAAACTAACACAGGAACAGAAAACCAAATACTGCATGTTCTCACTTATAAGTGGCGATTGAACAATGAGAACACATGGACACAGGGAGGGGAACATCACACACCTGGGCATGTCGGAGGGTTGGGGGCAAGGGAAGGAATAGCATTAGGAGAAATACCTAATGCATGCAGGGCTTAAAACCTAGATGATGGGTTGATAGGTGCAGTAAACCACCATGACACATGTATACCTATGTAACAAACCGGCATGTTCTGCACATGTATCCCAGAACTTAAAGTGTAAAAAATAAAAAAAATTAGAAAAAACAGTGACAAGGAGCTGAATGTTAATCACCAAGACAATGAGGAAAATATCTCCAGGGCATGTCAGAGACCTTTGTGACAGCACCTCCCATCACAGGCCTGGAGGCCTAGGAGGAAAAGGTGTTTTTGTGGGCCGGGCCCAGTGTCCCCATGCTGTGTGCAGCCTAGGGACTTGGTGCCCTGTGTCCCAGCCACTCCAGCTGTAGCTGAAAGGAGCCAGTGTAAAGCTCAGGCCATGGCTTCAGAGGGTGCAAGCCTCAAGTCTTGGTAGCTTCCACATGGTGTTGAGCCTACAAGTGCGCAAAAGTCAAGAATTGAGGTACGGGAACCTCTGCCTAGATTTCAGAAGATACATGGAAATGCCTGGATGCCCAGGCAGAAGTTTGCTGCAGGGGCAGGGCTCTCATGGAGAACCTCTGCTAAGGCAGTGTGGAAAGGGAATGTGGGATCAGAGTCCCCATACAGAGTCCCTACTGGGGCACTGCCTAGTTGAGCTGTGAGAAGAGGGCCACAATCCTCCAGACTCCAGAATGGTAGATCCACTGATAGCTTGCACTGTGTGCATGGAAAAGATGCAGACGCTCAACACTAGCCCATGAAGGTAGCTGGGAGGGAGGCTGTACCCTGCAAAGCCACAGGGATGGAGCTGCCCAAGACTATGGGAACCTACCTCTTGCATCAGCATGACCTGGATATGAGACATGGAGTCAAAGGAGATCATTTTGGAGGTTTAAGATTTGACTGCCCCACTGGATTTCAGACTTGTATGGGGCCTGTAGAACCTTTGTTTTGGCCGACTTCTCCCATTTGGAATGGCAGTATTTACACAATGCCCGTACTCCTACTGTGTCTAGAAAGTAACTAACCTGTTTTTGATTTTACAGGCTCATAGGTGGACAGACTTGCCTTGTCTCAGATGAGACTTTGGGCTGTGGGCTTTTGGGTTAATGCTGAAATGAGTTAAGACTTTGGGGGTCTGTTGGGAAGGCATGATTGGTTTTGAAATGTGAGGACATGAGATTTTGGAGGGGCCAGGTTGGGATGATATGGTTTGTCTGTGTCCCCACCCAGATCTCATCTTGAATTCCCACATATTGTTGGAGGGACCCGGTGGGAGGTAATTGAATCATGGGCGCAAGTCTTTCTCATGCTGTTCTCATGATAGTGACTAAGTCTTATGAGATCTGATGGTTTTAAAAAGAGGAATTCCCCACACAAGCTCTCTGTCTTTGCTTGTTGCCATCTATGTAAGATGTGACTTGCTCCTCTTTGCCTTCCAGCATGATTGTGAGGCTTCCCCAGCCACATGGAACTGTAAGTCCAAGTAAACATTTCTTTTGTAAATTGCCCAGTCTCAGGTGTGTCTTTATCACCAGCGTGAAAACAGATTAATACAGTGTACCTGTAAGGTTGTTTCCCAGTGAGATTAGCATGTGAGTTGGTGGACTAAGTAAAGCAGACTCCTCTCTCTAATGTAGGTGGGCATCACCCAGTCTGTTGAAGTCTTGAACAGACACAAAAGCAGAGGAAGGGAGAATTTGCTCTCTCTCTCTCTCTCTGGCTGACTGTGCTGGGCCATTGGTCCTCTGCTCTTTGGGACTTACCATGTTTCTCAGGCCTTTAGACTCAGAGTGAAACTATCTCATCTGCTCTCCTGGATCTCCAGCTTGCAAAAGGCAGATTGTGAGGCTTCTCAGCCACCATAATCACATGAGATAATTCCTTATAAATAAATATCCAATTGGTTCTATTTCTCTGGAAAACAAAAGAGCACAACTGGCAATTGGATTTATTATTGAATTTCACTTGATTATATACCTCACTTTCAAGAACTCTCTATAAATAGTAATAAACACAGTTTTTGAAAGTGAAGCAATTAAATTTAAACATATATAAACTCAAAGATTTCGATCAGCCTAAAACCTCCTTCAGCTGATAAACAACTTCAGCAGTTTCAGGATACAAAATCAATGTACATAAAAATCACTAGCATTTCTATGTGCAAACAACAGCCAAGCCAAGAGTCAAATCAGAATGGCAATCCCACTCACAATTTGCCATAAAAAGAATAAAATACCTAGGAATACAGCTAACCAGGAAGCTAAAAGATCTCTACAATGAGAATTACAAAACACTACTCAAAGAAATCAGAGAAGACACTAACAAATGAAAAAACATCCCATGCTCATGGATAGGAAGAATCAAAGCATTAAAATGGCCCTACTGCCCAAGGCTATTTACAGATTCAATGCTATTCCTATCAAACTACACAATATTCTTCACAGAACTAGAAGAAAACTATCTTAAAATTCATATGGAACCAAAAAAGAGCCTGAGTAGCCAAGGCAATCTGAAGCAAAAAGAACAAAGCTGGAGGCATTGAGTTACCCAACTTCAAACTATACTACAGGGCTACAGTAACCTAAACAGCATGATGCTGGTACAAAAACAGGAACACAGACCAATGGAACAGAATGGAGAGCCCAGAAATAAGGCTGTACACCTACAACTATGTGAATCTTCGACAAAGCTGACAAAAACAAGCAATGAGGAAAAGACTCCTTATTCAATAAATGGTGCTGAGATAACTGGCTAGCCACATCCAGAATATTAAAACTGGACCCCTTCCTTATACCATATACAAAAATTAACTCAAGATGGATTAAAGACTTAAATGTAAAACCAGAAACTATAAAAATACTGGCAGACAACCTAGGCAATCAATACCATTTGGGACATAGGAACTGGCAAAGATTTCATGACAAAGACACCAAAAGCAATCACAACAAAAGGAAAAATTGACAATGGGATCTAATTAAACTTAAGAACTTCTGCACAGCAAAAGAAATTATCAACAGAGTAAACAGAAAACCTACAGAATGGGAGAAAATATTTGCAAAATATGCATCAAACAGAAGTCTAATATCCAGCATCTATAAGGAACTTAAATTCATAAGAGAAAAACAAACAACCCTATTAAAAAGTGGGCAAAGGACATGAACAGAAACTTCTCAAAAGAAGACATACATGTGGCCAACAAGCATATGGAAAAAAGCTCAAAATCATGAGAGAAATACGAATAAAATCCACAATGAGATACCATCTCACACCAGTCAGAATGGCTACTAATAAAATATAAAAAATAACAGATGCTGGCAAGGTTGCAAATAACAGGGAACACTTATACACTGTTGGGGGGAATGTAAATTAGTTCAACCATTGTGGAAGACAGTGTGGCAATTTCTCAAAGA